ATATATATATATATATATATATATATATATATATATTAGTTTCAAAAGTTTTATATATATATATATATATATATATATATATATATATATTGATAATTGCAAACAGGATATAAATCCAAAGCGAGCTTACTGTAAGAACAGAACAAATAAATTAATTAAGCCTGAAAATCGTAGCCACAAGCGGTTTCGGCACACGGTAAAATCTACAGATAGATAGATAGATAGATAGATAGATAGACGGACAGACAGACATTAAGAAACTGTTATGAACAAAGATAGATAGATAGATATCCAGGGACAATTATGAACAGGGATAGATAGATAGATAGATAGATAGATAGATAGATAGATAGATATGCATACATGTACATAAACATTATTAATCATAACTTTGTTTTTCTTTCATTTAAAATAAAATTAAAACTAATTTTAATTTTTTTTTTTTTTTAATTTAAAATTGCCAACCTCATTGACAACAATAACAACTCACCCAAGATCCAACTACAGAGCAATAGCATTATTTATGAATTTACATGCCCTCTACGCATCTGGGTGCCTTGACGAAAATACATTCATCTATAGAAATATAGCGCAGTGTACATGTGTCCGTCCGTCTGTCCGTTCATTTTTTGATCTCAACGAATCATAAACAACCTGGAGTAAAGCTTGTAACTACTGCAGTTACACGTGATTAAAAATTAAATAAACAACTGATTTAAAGTTAAATTTAAATATCGAACAGAGTGATAGGCTTAAAAAAAATATTACTTTATTAAAAGTTTAACTTTAATTTTGCTTTTCATTGCAACATGTCTAATTAAATCATAATTAAAACTTAAGTGATATATTTTTCTTTTTCTAGCATCTTTCTATATATATATATATATATATATATATATATATATATATATATTAAAGACATTTTATATTTAACATTTTTTTAGAAAATATTCGTATTTTGAGTAAATATATGTTTTTCTATGAAAATTATTCGACATTCAGGCCGGTAAATTTTATAGAAAATATTGTTTATTATAAACAGATATATTTTCTTAAATACTTGTATCTATAAAAAGAATGTTAAAATAAAATGTCTTTAATAAATTGTCGGTCTTTAATATATATATATATATATATATATATATATATATATATATATATATATATATATATATATATATATATATATTCAAGATTCCTGAAGGATTTTGGGTCACTAACACACTAAAAAGAGAATGTCTCATATCGAGAATATTTAACATCGAAAAACATAAAGGAAAAAATTAATTCCTTTTAATAATATGTGGAAATCTCCTCGCTTTGCCTGATGAATGTCGCGAAACCGGAAACCCATGTAGCAAAATTATGGAAAATAAAGCATAATGTTTAAAAGAAAAAAATCCACATTACAACCAAAAACGTTTGCGGTTTCTCTCTTCTTTTTAATATACACACTTTTCTCTTGGTTTCTCTCTACTATAACCTCTTCCTTTATATATATATATATATATATATATATATATATATATATATATATATGCACATTGCAATTACTAAAAAAATAATGTATTTTTTGCTTTTTTTTTTCCCCAACAGATTTTATCACTTAAACGTAATTTTGTTGTGGATACCCATATTTGATTATTTATTAAATACTATTTTTATTTATTTTTGTCTACTCTTCTGAATATCCGCGAAATGCTCAAATATGAGTATCTACTAAAAATTACGTTTAATGTGATAATATATATATAAAAAAATTACGTTTAATATATATATATATATATATATATATATATATATATATATATATATATATATCCATGCCCATGGATTAACCTTACTCTATTCATTTGTATAGCTCTCTATCTTTTAATCTATATGTCTGCTGTTATTTGTCCCTTTATTTTATGTCTATACGCACACACACAGATACACACACACACACACACACACACACACATATATATATATATATATATATATATATATATATATATATATATATTTAAAAAACACTCATTTGAACTTTGTGGCTAAATGGTTAATGGCACGTCAGATCAAATGACAATTCCCATAATGGGTTACAGGTTCGATTCCTGTCGGAGAGAGAATATTCTCTACGAAATTCCTCGAACTTTTAGGCCGGTTAAATGTAATTAATACTGTTTAAGTAAAAAACAGAGCATTTACTTAAATAAATTATATGTATAAAAATAACTTACAAAAAGAAAATATATTATAATTTTCTATAATTTTTTTTCATGTTGACCTATGTGATGGGTCATATAAGTATGTATATTCTATTGCTGCCTGTACAACGTGTCTGATCCCAGGTAAAAATCAACATACAAAATGTTAACTTCAAGAATGACACTCACAATTCAGATGCAAACAGAAATAGGAAAATCTAGTGCTGCAAGATTATTCCACCAAACTGTTATTTCTTTTTCTAAATATTCTTTAAGACATTCTAAATTCTTTTTCTTCATCTCTCTTTATGTGCGTTTCATTCTCCCAACAAGTTGTTGCCTCGTTCCACATCGTTCACGTGGGTGCAGATGCATACATTCTCAAAGACAACTACATACATAGACGCTTGGCTATCTATCTATCTATCTATCTATCTATCTGTAGATTTTACCGTGTGCCGAAACCGCTAGGTGTGTTTGTGGCTACGATTTTCAGGCTTAATTAATTTATTTGTTCTGTTCTTACAGTAAGCTCGCTTTGGATTTATATCCTGTTTGCAATTATCAATATATATATATATATGATCATTTGAAAACTAATATATATATATATATATATATATATATATATATATATTATATTATATAATATATTTGGTTTCAAAAGTTTGGAGCCCCTCAGAATTAGCATGGGATGAACTTGACAGAAATATGAGAAAAATTCATTGAGTCATTGAAAAAAGAATGGAATCATTTATCAAACTAACACACATATATATATATATATATATATATGTGTGTGTGTGTGTGTGTGTGTGTGAGTGTGTGTGCGTGTGCATACATATACGTAAACATTATTAGTCATAAATTTGCTTTTCGAAATGTTGCGTTTCTAAAAAACAGTGCATTTAAATAAATTATATGTATAAAAATAACGTACAGAAAGAAAAAATATTATAATTTTCTATAAGTTTTTTTCATGGTGAGCTATGTGATGGGTCATATAAGTATGTATATCCTATTGATGCCTGTAAAATGTGTCTGATCCCAGGTAAAAATTAACATACGAAATTCAAGAGTGACACTTACAATGCAAATGCAGACACAAACATGAAAATCTAGTTCTGCGAGATCTTTCCACCAAACTGTTATTTCTCTTTCTAAATATTCTTTAAGACATTCTAAATCCTTTTTCTTCATCTCTCTTGATATGCGCCTCTTTCTCCCAACAGGTTGTCGCCCCATTCCGCATTGTTCACGTGGGTGAAAAGGCAAATGCATACATTCTCAAAGACAAATGCATACATAGACGCCTGGCTCTCTCTCTCTCTCCCCACCTTCTCTCTCTCTCTCCCCACCTTCTCTCTCTCTCCCCACCTTCTCCTCTCTCTCCTCTCCCCACCTTCTCTCTCCCCACCTTCTCACTCTCTCTCCCTCTCTCCCCACCTTCTCTCTCTCTCTCTCCCACCTTCTCCTCTCTCCCCCCTTCTCTCTCTCTCTCTCCCCACCTTCTCTCTCTCTCCCCACCTTCTCTCTCTCCCCACCTTCTCTCTCTCTCTCCCACCTTCTCTCTCTCTCTCTCTCCTCACCTTCTCTCTCCTCACCTTCTCTCTCTCTCTCCTCCCCCACCTTCTCTCTCCCCTCTCTCCCCACCTCTCCTCTCTCCCTCTCTCTCTCCTCCCCTTCTCTCTCCCTCCCCACCTTCTCTCTCTCTCTCCCCACCTCTCTCTCTCTCTTTCTCTCCCCACCTTCTCTCTCTCTCTCTCTCCCTCTGTAGATTTCACCGTGTGCCGAAACCGCTGGGTGTGTTTATGGCTACGATTTGCAGGCTTAATTGATTCCAGAATATTTGTAATCTGAAACTGTCTGGATGATATCTTTTCAGTTATTTATTATTTAGGATGGCTTTTTGATTTGTGGGGATGAATATGGCCCAATCCCTAAAAAACAAGACATGTATGGATACTCTTAAAAATGTCTATCAAGATATCTACTAACCGGTTGCTTACACCGGAACATTATCAAATGAAAGAGTCTTCTGCGCCAGGCTTCTAATTTGAGAGTGCCCGATAGAGCAAGTAAATGACACATAGACTGATTGATTCATTAGCAGTCTTAATATATGTTCTGGCTTTAAATAACCTGTAATGGATTGCTAATCCGTAGAAAATGAATCAGTTTTTTGGGAAATAATAATGGTTTTAGTGATACAAGTCTTACTAAATAACCCATAGCTGGCGAGGGAAGAGATGTATTCATGCCTTCCCCAAGGGTATTTGCGTGTAAATGAATATAACGAACCCGATTGGAATTGGAACTCGTCTCGCCGATTAACAATTCTGAGCCGTTATTCATTACACCACCCGCACATCCAAGCTTATAACACGTAGTATTCCCAAGCAGTCATTCACTTAGGTACTAACCAAACTCGAATTCGGTGATCGTACGGGAACCAGTGTTTCATTGTCATATGGCCGTAAACCTCTAAATAACAGCTTGGCTTAGAAACCAATCTTTGGTAACAGTGGGAAATACGAGACTTTTTTAACGGGGCCCAAACATGTTGAGTATAGATTATTAAATTACAAGACAAATTAGTGGAAATCGGGGTGAGGAAAATTATGAGGAAGGTGTGCCAGCCTTAAAAATCAGCATTCGAATTTAAAAGGATAGACTGCATTATTTTGCCTCTATTTTTTTTTTTTTTTTTTTTTAACACTGCACTTAATTTCCCAGACTGGATCTAGAGAGATAATAGAGGATAGATGGAAAGACAGAAAAATAGAGGGTTGGATGTAACAGTCATGCGTGTGTGCGCCATATTAAAATTCTGCTTGGGACACCTCGACGTGATGTAATAGTTAGCAAGCTTATCTCGAGAGACCAATTATCACAAAGAAGTGAGTTCGATCCTCACTGGGTGACCCATATTTTCGGGCTGTGCCACATCTAAGCTACTCTTACAACGTCACCAGATTATAATTCTGCTTGTTCTTTGGTTCCTGATTCTTTCCAATATCTTATAAATAATGGTCTCATCGTCATCATCTTGCGGCCTCAGCCGAGATTACAATACTTTGATTGGTGTAGTTACATAATCTTGTCAAATAGCTGAATTCTTGATGCTTCGCTAGGGCTATCAAGGGTGTTTTTATCGTGACACCAACACTAAATGGATTGCTAACCAAGGCTCAGAGAGACTCCATTCACCCTCCTCTAAGAGCAGGTTTGAATTCAGAGTTTTCCTTCTCCTAGACCAGTTGCCATCCAAGGCTATAGAACCCAGTCTGTCCTGCTATTTACCCATAGCTGGAGGGAGAAGAGAGAGGATTCACACCTTTCCCAAAAGTGAATGTAATGGATTCGACTGGAATTCGAACTCGGCTCTCCGATTCCTCAATTCAAGCCGCTATCCATTACTCCACCGTGCCGTGTGTAATGGTCTATTTAGCTCTGATCACGAGGAAAGACATCAAAGACGCTGTTTGGTTTCAATGAAAGAACGAAAAGACTGTGATAAGGTTCTCATGTATTTAATGTCTCCTTTAGTGAAATGAAAAAAAAAACACCTATCAATTTTTAATCTTTTCATTTGTACTCTCTTCCTTCTTTAAATAATGACCTGCATACACACTTATAATTGTTATTACAATATTCTGATAAAGTTGCTAAGCTCAAATATTTAACGATGCAATAGGGGAAATTCCATTTGTGTTTTATAGTCGTAGATGTCGTCATGAGCTTTTTCAATCATTAAATTAAGAGTTACGATTTTCAAATAGGAAAACCGTCCTGGGTAAGACGATAAACTACGTCCAACAACAAGGCCTTTGATCAGGTTTTGAGGAGCGTGGAACCACCTCTTAATTGCTGCTGTTCCTACGTCCACCCTGACCCGGTATGGTAGCATCTGTCAGGGTCCCAGCTATGGGCAAATAGTTAACCCCCACTAAATAGGGGTTGAAACACTATGAAAGTATAAAATAGGTTTTAATACCAGGAATACTTTTTTGGAAAAAATTATTATCAGCAGTACATTTTTTTAAAAGAATATTACCAGCAATACATTTTTGAAAAAAAAATACTACCAACAATACAGTTTAGAAAAAAAAATATTATCAGCAATGAAAATGTTGTCGGCATTAAATAACCCATTGAGTTTTGGAAAAAAATGTTACTAGCAGTACATTTTTTTTTTAAAATATTACCAGCAATACATTTTTGAAAAACAAAATATTACCAGCAATACAGTTTAGAAAAACAAAATATTACCAGCAATACAGTTTAGAAAAAAAAATATTATCAGCAATGAAAATGTCAGCATTAAATAACCCATTGAGGTTGATATGCCGTAAAACAAAATAAACCAAACCAAATCTGATCTATAAACTGATTTCTTACAAAGAATGCATATTCTGATCATACGAACCTATCTTAAAAATCTTGTCGGCATTAAATAATTTATTGAGATTGATATGCCGTAAAATAAACGAAACGAAACGAAACAGGAAAACCTGAAATTTTCACGGTTGCTATGAGCTTTGTATTATTGAAACTTAATTAGGAAAAAAAGTGACCAAATCCTGTAGCAAAATTTTCGGTAAACTTGTCTTGAACAGATTCATTAGTGTAAAAATTACAGTTCCTCGAAAGTATCCAATTAATTCTCAACGTCGTTGTACGGGTATATGTCGAAGCGAATGGTCTAATTGCTTAATTTTCAAATTTAGATATGTTGTATCCCACTGCTTTTCAAACGGAATATCGCGACAACCTTGGTGTCTCGTAGTGAGTAATTAAGGTTGTCGCGAGTTTGTATATTAAAATAACAAAAATAAGAGACATGGTGGCGTAATGGATAGCAACTCGGATTGAGGAATCGAAGAGCCATGTTTGAATTCCAGTCATTACATTCACTTATGTGCTAATACCTTTGTGAAAAGTATGAATCCTCTTTTTCTCCACTCCCCACCAGCTATGGGTAAATAGCAGGACAGGCTGGATTCTATCACCTTGTATGGCAACCGATCTAGGAGAAGGAAAAAGTGAAATTACAAGGCGAAGTAGTGGAAATCGGGGCGAATAAAATTATGAGGAAGGTGTGCCAGCCTCTCCGTTCTGAAGAGGGTTGGGCTCCGTCAGGTTATTTTGCCCTAGATACACCACGGAAAAGAAAAAGGCAAACTCTACATTTCCACAAAATTAGACGAAAATGAAAAAACGTATTTAACAAAGACATTTGAGAGAGAGAGAGAGAGAGAGAGAGAGAGAGAGAGAGAGAGAGAGAGATTTAAAATGAATAGCATTAAAAGAAAAATGCCTTTATTCATTCATTATGGCGACTAAAAATGAAAGGCTTTATAAAATGAACAGCCATAAGGCACATATTCTTTAGAAAACAGGTATTATGAGTTCTGATACTGTTGACGCTTGAATAAGGCTTTCGTCTGCCATAGGTTATGTATTGGGATCGGATAAAAGTAAAAATCTAACTAACTATTAGTCTTCTTTCAAGCTCTAGTTTTCTAGTGATACCAAATTTTCAGCATTTTCTTGTATATTTTGATGAAATTGGTACATTTCTTATATAAAATTTTCAATGATCTATCCTGGGAAATTTAAATGTTTCTATATAAACAAGAATGCCTGCTCAAACAGGTGCACAAGCTACAATACCATCTAATATATATATATATATATATATATATATATGTATGTATCATACCTTAATTTCCCATGTATAATACGCATTTTTTCTAAAAAGTAATAAGCAAAATCAATGGTTTTGGTTAATTGTCTATTTCAATTTTATTACACTCCCACGCTAGCTTCATTATTTTAATTGATTTTCGTAATACTAGTCTCAATTTGTTAGAGGATTTTCAATTTGTTCAAGTACTCCAGAAATTATAGGTACAACGGTCACTTCCACACTACACAATTTTTGTCCATTCTCTTGCAAGGTAATTGTCCAACATTTACCATAATTCCCCGTGTATAATACACTTTTTTTAAAAAAAAAAATAAGCAAAATCAGTGATGCGTATTATGCATGGCTACAAAAATATTTCAAAAATTGCCGTAAAATAAAATAAAAATTATCATAAAACTAAATTAAAATAATATTATTCTGTGTTTAAAACGATTTTTTAAATAAGTGTAGGAAACGCTATCCGTAATGAAATTGGAGAGGTAAAATTTATAGAGACTGATTATCAAACAAGGGGTGCGCATTATGCATGAGCGTAAGCATTTTCTTACACATGCAGCACAATTTTAGGGGTGCGTATTATGTATGAAGGCGTATTATACGTGGAGAATTACGGTAGTTGTTGTTTCATGGTGTACTGTCACCCGTCGCAACTCAGTGCACCACTTATATCATGAACAAGCAAAATATAACTACCAACATAAAAAAATATGTATAATACCATAAATCTGTCTCTCTGTCTCTCTCTGTATATATATATATATATATATATATAGAGAGAGAGAGATAGATAGATAGATAGATAGATAATATTAGTGGTTAATATACACACATATATTTATCTAAAATATATAAATATATATACATATATATATCTAAAATATATAAATATATATACACATATATATGTGACGTCGTCCCCCGGTCGCAGCGCCGATTGTGACGTTCTATCCTGATCTACCACAGCGCCAGTTGTGACGCCCCCAAACAACACCAATTGTGACGTCCTCGCTGCGGCGCCAGCTGTTCGCTCCTCGCTGCTCCGTTCGGGTGTCGCTGCTCCAAACGTGACGTCCGCCTGTCGCGTCAGTCATGTTGTCTCGTCCTGTGACGACCAACTGGCTTGGT